AGGTAATTGCAACCACTTTTTATATGCCGTAAATACAATTACTACCATCATCATAATTTACGGCACTAGTCTTTAGTCTGGGAAGATTAGTGAAAATGTCATTGACGATTGATGCAGTTTTGGTAAACTCCAGAGCCTTACACCCCCCCTGGAATTCAGTAGCATCGTTGTATAATCGGGGGCCTTGCAGTCAGATTAGCCTTTTGTACATGAGGAACGTGTGAGAATGACTGTAATGTGTTCAAGGTAGCATGAGTGCTTCAACACTTGCCAATTCCGATAATCAAACATTGCATATCAAATGGTTTCTTTTTCAACAGTCAATGCTGCCTTGACATCTTGTAATTATAATAATATTAATAATAGTATTATTACGATTACACAAAGCAAAATACTATTATTATCAATAAAAATCTTGTAATTACCCAACAAGATCTGCTCCGCATTTTGATTCCAATTAAAATATTTATAAGCTAAAATAAAAGACACCTCATACATATCAATACAAATAAAAAAAAGTACCTCTGGTTAGTTATTAAAACGTATTCTTAGGAGACCCAAATCAAGTCAAACAACAACACTCACGTTTTGTCACCTTGGACTCTGTCAAAAAATAAATCGTTTTTATTGTTTTTCCAAAAAAGAGAAAAAAAAAATCAATTCGCATCTGTCCCACCAAAAAAAAAACCAATAGGATAAATAATTAATGTGACGCGTCAATTGTTTCACAAACTTTTTTTTTTCATTTGTAAAGAAAGATGTCGTTTAATGAGAAAAAAAATAAAAAAAGAAGCAGAGAAGGCGAACCAAGGGAGAGAAGAGGGTAAGTGTTTTAAGAAGGATGGTGGTGGTGGTTATCGCCTGCCACTCGTCGTTACTCTAGTTTAATTTTAAAAATGGCGTAATCTTTTTTATAACAAATTTATTTAAAATAGAAAACAAGAAGAAGAAGAACAAGTAGATGCTGCTGTAGAAGCTCAAAAGTAAGTGTTTATCATAAGAATGGTGGTGGTGGTTATCGCCACTTGTTGTCACTCTAGTTTTTAAACTGTTATTCTCCCAAACATTACAAAAATTTGAAATTTTGCATATTTACATATTCTTGATGAAATTTATTTGTGTTTTATTATCTATGTTTTTACGTAATTAATTGTTTTTGTGGTGACCGAAACTTTATGTGTAGTTTGAATTTGCTTTGTACATCGGAACGTAACGTCCAGCGTACATTATACAATCCAATAATAATACAACCCGAAACTGGTGACGATTTCAGGACTCCTATTTGTTCTGAGGTTGGTGTCATAAACATAATGGTTTTTTTTATTCATTTTTGACTTAAAAATTGACGAACTGAGCCTATGCTTACAAAGAATGATAATGGTGATTCCGATGAGGATGATGAGAATAATGAAAGTGATGAAGAGTGTGGACTGAGATTGGATGTCAACGAAATCAGTTTCGATGAATATATCGATCAGGGTGACAAGCACGTTAGTATTTTTTTTCTCACAATCAATTGCAAGTATGATTTCTCTAAACAATGACTGTTTTATAGTTCATTTTCAAAAACAAAGACATTTCAGCATTATTCAAAACATACCAGTCAAAAGCATCAGACCTTTCTAAAGATTCTGGTTTACTAATTACGAAAAATTATCAAGAAAGATTGTAAGTAGGACTTCTAAATGGGATATTGATATCTTTAGTAAATTAACTTTATTGATAGAGGATGTTTACTTTTTTGAAATTTTAGGAGTCTGTCGCATATTCTTTTACTAAGATCTGATAACTATTCGGAAATGCAAATGAAGACATTCTCTAGGGAAACACTCGAAGACTTGATAAAGGAGATTAAATTAAATTTTATTGGAAAGGAAAAGGTGACAAGAGACATAAAATTAATACTACAGGAGTATATTGAGGTTTGTATTCTTCTGTTATTTATATTATCACCCTTTTGCAATATTCCCTTTGCTGATTACCTTGCTTTAGGTTGCTCTTGATGATGATGATGGTGGGTTGTGCAAGCTTCACGAAACAATTACGAACAATTTCTCAAAAACATTCGATTCAACGAATGAAAAATAATTTTTCCAACGAATGCAGTTTCTATTTCAACACTTGTAAGTTTGATCTCTTTTATTCAAACATCTTTATGAATTGTCTGTGGTAAATATTTTTTCTTACTACTTTGCAGGTCTTACACAATTCTGTTGTGTTCATTGAAAGAAAAAATTAGTGAAGGAACTTTGGTGGCGAATTTTATAAGTCCTGTGTTACACGTTTTTTTTCATGATGCTTGTATATGGTGCAAGTCACCTAGTCCCGCAACTTGCTGCGCCTCGTGGCCAATTTTGGGAAAAATATCAAAACTCAGAATTGTAAGTTATGCTAAAAAATGCAATAAAATTTTTATATCACGTGACCTTTAATGGTGATACAAACTAAAAAAATTATTTATATTAATAATATATAAATAATGTTATAACATTGCTAAAAAAAATTTCCTTCTTCATGTGAAGAAGCCAATG